TTTTCGTGACTGCAAGGACTCATATTCTTGGGTCTTTTCGGTAAAGTCACGTAGGTAAAATTTTTTAATTAATTAAAGTAAAATAAAAATTTACTAAAAATCACGACGTTTCGGAGGCATATTCACTCCCACCGTCGATCTTCCCGCTTCGCTACAACCTTGATAAATTCCCATATACGTATTGCCTCTTAACTATTAAACAGCGAAGGGCGGTTGTCCCATGGATAGACCAACAGTAGCGATGTGGGAATTCTACCGCTGGCTCTGCGAGGCAGGGCTGTGAGCAGCTGCCAAGGCAGAGAGAGGGCTGTGAGTAAGGGTTTGGCACTGCCTCAATGATGCTCATCTGAGCAGGAAATCAGCGAAACACATTTTTAATGCAACCTCCAATGGCGCTGTTTGTGGATGACCGCTAGGCATGATTGGCCTTCGCCGCTGTGCTAAGCAACCTTAATATATATTTAGAAAAACAAGTCACGCAAGGTTAAATCTTGACTTCAAGCTTTCCTGCCTGCAGGAATTCATATTATTTGGGTCTTTCGGTAAAGTCACGTAGATCGGTTCAAAGAAAATAACAAAAAAAAATCTACGACGTTTCGATCACAACACAAGCGGCCGTCATCAGGACGATCGTCATCAGAAACGCAGTTTTTTGTTATTTTCTTTGAACCTATCTACGTGACTTTACCGAAAGACCCAGGGAATATCGCACAAGGTTGACTACCAAACATGTCTTATGATGCCCGTGCTCTCGATAGCGAAGGGGATTTTTCTGTGCCGGAATTTGCGCGAGCAGGCACATCTCCTAAGGCTGCCACTCTTTCTTTACCTGACTGACACATTCGGCTTCGTCGTGTTCCGCGTCGACTCAAGGGGGACCCGGCTCCAGTGGAGCGAGAGGAGGAGGAGGAGGGGGACGATGCAAATCAGGGACGTGCGGTCAGGGGAGGCAGGGGAGGCACAGCCTCACCTATGAAAATAGCTGTTACGAAAAGTAAATGATAAAATAAATATGCATATTTTTCCACTCATCTGTGTTATAACTGTCATTTCTGTACGATTCCGATCATTTTTATAGTCTAAATCGCCAAATTTGCGGAGCTCCGCTGCAAATACACAACCCCTCAGTAACTGGATGGAGCGCGGGCAATAAGCGCGTGCCTGTTACTATCTCAGTATGTCACCAATGTGATGATTGTAGACCCCTTCATTTCATGTCCTCGCCTTCCATACGCCAGGTAACTTATTTCAGGTATGTATATGAAGATATTTAGGCTCGCTGGTCTGGTCATAAAACTGCAATGAAAAAGTGAGGCAGCTATCACATCTGCCTCACTGAGGGGTTCGTGTCTAACACGCCCCCCTCAGTGAGGACACGCCCCCCTCAGTGAGGACACGCCCCCTCAGTGAGGCCACGCCCCCTCAGTGAGGACACGCCCCCTAAGTGAGACCATGCCCCCTCAGTAAGGACACGCCCCCCTCAACGAGGACACGCCCCCTCAGTGAGGCCACGCCCCCTCAGTGAGGACACGCCCCCTCAGTGAGACCATGCCCCCTCAGTGAGGACACGCCCCCCTCAACGAGGACACGCCTCCTCAGTGAGGCCACGCCCCCTCAGTGAGGACACGCCCCCCTCAACGAGGACACGCCCCCTCAGTGAGGACACGCCCCCTCAGTGAGGACACGCCCCCCTCAACGAAGACACGCCCCCTCAGCGAGGACACGCCCCCTCCGTGAGACCACGCCCCCCTCAGTGAGGACACGCCCCCCTCAACGAGGACACGCCCCCTCAGTGAGGACACGCCCCCCTCAACGAGGACACGCCCCCTCAGTGAGGACACGCCCCCTCAGTGAGGACACGCCCCCCTCAACGAGGACACGCCCCCTCAGCGAGGACACGCCCCCTCCGTGAGACCACGCCCCCCTCAGTGAGGACACGCCCCCCTCAGTGAGGACACGCCCCCTCAGCGAGGACACGCCCCCTCAGTGAGGACACGCCCCCATCCGTGAGGCCACGCCCTCCCCTCAGTGTGTGAATCTGGCTCTGACACGAGCCAGTGCCTCCCCAGCCATTGACCTCACCGCACGTCGCTGCTGTAAATCCGAGCGAAGGGAAGAAACAAATATACTCCAAGATAATGACTCCCGCGATGGGTTGACCCAGGCATTCTGTTACGAGGCCACACGCCGAATTAACAGGACAATAACGATATTGAACATTTGCGCGGCGCCATAAATCTCCGGAGAAATAAACGACCTTGCGCCGTAATTTGCGCGCGCCACACCCGCCCATTTCTCCTCCGCGCGCTTGTGTGCGGCCTTTTAGAAAGAAAAAAAAAATTAGAAAAAAAGAGAGAGCGAGAAAAAAAAACCTCAAGGCTTCCAATTTACACACGAGCCATTGATTCATGAGCCCCGACAATCATTACGTGCTTTCACACGCGCGGTTGTATTCAGTTGAAGCCGGATGCCTGTACAGAAGCTCCATGCCTTCTTTATTTTATATATACACGTTATTTTTTTTTAATCATCGGTGACCATCGCTTCTCTAGCGCCGACGCATTGCAGACAGCCGACCGTCCCCTTATTGATCACTCTCACGCAGAGACGGCGACGAGAAACCGGGGCAGGCAGGAAGGCGGCAACACTACGCGGTGGGCCCGCACCAACCATTGCCCAAGTTCTGTGGTCCTCTGTTTGTTAAGGTGTTATCTCGGCCAGCGCGAATGAGTGCTACGCGCTATGTAATTGTTACGACCACTGGCCCATTTTCGTTCGAGCCAATGTAAACACACACAGTCAATTGGGTGCATGCCATGATGGACACGCATGTTGTGCTGCACGTATGTTGAAGCGTCTGTGGATGTATGTGCACGCACGCTCGGTGGTGTAGGAGTAATCACACTGCACTACAAACCCTGTGACCTAAGTGCGATTCCTCGTCACGGTTAAAACCAGTGGCGAGGAGTATTACAATCCTTTCACGGGGCTCATCTAAGTCAACTCAGTTGCAAATGAGTACCTGGTGAATAAAAGACTCCCTTTTGCATTAAATCAATTGGACTCCTTCAAAGAGAGTGGCCGCCCCGACATCCAGCCTCCTGAAGGCTGGAAACCCCCTTCAAGCCACGCCCAGCGTGACGCGGCCGACGGGTACCGATTACTTCAGCAAGCTTTACCCATCACCTCCCGTACACAGCGGGGAGCAGAGGTGATGTCTTTTTTTCTCCCCCCCCCCTGTCCCCCCCCCAACTATTTTTGTGTTAATCCAATTGGTTGGGTAGGGGAGCAGATAATGGGTGGAGTACAGAGATCAATCACTCACACAGTCGGAGAGCCCAGCTCTACCGCTCTCACGGAGCGGAACATTACGTCAAGTCCCTAGCCAACGGCGTGGGGCGGTCAGTATTCCCAAGGCAGGCGGTGCGGTGGTGTGTGTGGTGGAGTGTGTCGTGGTGTGTGTGGTGGAGTGTGTGGTGGAGTGTGTGGTGGTGTGTGTAGTGGTGTGTGTGGTGGTGTGTGTGGTGGTGTGTGGTGGAGTGTGTGGTGGTGTGTGTAGTGGTGTGTGTGGTGGAGTGTGTGGTGGAGTGTGTGGTGGAGTGTGTGGTGGTGTGTGTAGTGGTGTGTGTGGTGGTGTGTGTGGTGGAGTGTGTCGTGGTGTGTGTGGTGGAGTGTGTGGTGGAGTGTGTGGTGGTGTGTGTAGTGGTGTGTGTGGTGGTGTGTGTGGTGGTGTGTGGTGGAGTGTGCGGTGGAGTGTGCGGTGGAGTGTGCGGTGGAGTGTGGGGTGGTGTGTGCGGTGGTGTGTGCGGTGGAGTGTGGGGTGGTGTGTGCGGTGGTGTGTGCGGTGGTGTGTGCGGTGGAGTGTGGGGTGGTGTGTGCGGTGGAGTGTGGGGTGGTGTGTGCGGTGGAGTGTGGGGTGGTGTATGTGGTGGAGTGTGTGGTGGAGTGTGTGGTGGTATGTGTAGTGGAGTGTGCGGTGGAGTGTGGGGTGGTGTATGTGGTGGAGTGTGTGGTGGTGTGTGCGGTGGAGTGTGTGGTGGTATGTGTAGTGGAGTGTGCGGTGGAGTGTGGGGTGGTGTGTGCGGTGGAGTGTGGGGTGGTGTATGTGGTGGAGGGTGTGGTGGAGTGTGTGGTGGTATGTGTAGTGGAGTGTGCGGTGGAGTGTGGGGTGGTGTATGCGGTGGAGTGTGTGGTGGAGTGTGTGGTGGTGTGTGTAGTGGTGTGTGTGGTGGTGTGTGCAGTGGTGTGTGCGGTGGAGTGTGGGGTGGTGTGTGCGGTGGAGTGTGCGGTGGAGTGTGCGGTGGAGTGTGGGGTGGTGTATGTGGTGGAGTGTGTGGTGGTGTGTGTGGTGTTGTGTGTGGTGGTGTGTGTGGTAGAGTGTTGTGGTGTGTGTGGTGGAGTGTGTGGTGGAGTGTATGGTAGAGTGTGTGGTGGTGTGTGCGGTGGTGTGTGCGGTGGAGTGTGGGGTGGTGTGTGCGGTGGAGTGTGGGGTGGTGTATGTGGTGGAGTGTGTGGTGGTGTGTGTGGTGGTGTGTGTGGTGGAGTGTGTGGTGGTGTGTGTGGTGGAGTGTGCGGTGGTGTGTGTGGTGGTGTGTGTGGTGGAGTGTGTGGTGGTGTGTGCGGTGGAGTGTGGGGTGGTGTATGTGGTGGAGTGTGTGGTGGAGTGTGTGGTGGTATGTGTAGTGGAGTGTGCGGTGGAGTGTGGGGTGGTGTATGTGGTGGAGTGTGTGGTGGAGTGTGTGGTGGTATGTGTAGTGGAGTGTGTGGTGGAGTGTGGGGTGGTGTATGCGGTGGTGTGTGTGGTGGTGTGTGCAGTGGAGTGTGCGGTGGTGTGTGTGGTGGAGCGCGTGCGGTGGACGTGCGGTGGAGCGTGTGTGGTGGAGCACGTGCAGTGGTGTGTGCGGTGGTGTGTGTGGTGGAGTGTGTGTGGTGGAGCGCGTGTGGTGGAGCGTGCGGTGCGAGGTGGCTCGTGGGAGACACCGGCGGGAGGTTCCTCTCACCTGGACGGTGCTTTGCTCCAGGAGCACGAACTTGCGGTCGGGAGACACCTGGAACCTCGTCACCTTGCCGTTTTGCTGCCGGCACACGGGGGGGGGGGGGGCACACAGAGGGGGGGGGGGGGGGGACAACGACGTTAGAGGCCAGAACGCCAGACACAGGTCTGTCCGAAGCCACGGCGAGCGAAGTAATGAATGACAGAAGAGACTTTTCCCAGCAGACGCTGTTTCGCACCACTGTCATTTATTTTCTGCAAATGCTGCGAAGGTGAGCGGCCGTGGGCTTCAGGGTTCGAATGCCAAAAAACACAGCGGTGGCCCAACGCTGCCATCCCTGATCCTGTCATTCGGAAGGAGTGCTCGTGCCGATAGCGTCTGGCAATGCAGCTCGCATTTGATTGTTTAAACAAATGCTGCTGCTGCTGCTGCTGGACCAAGGTTGATCAGAAAATCCTACAGGCCAATGGATCCTAGACAGATTTATTTATGCATGGAGATAGAGAAGGGAGTTCTGCCGATGCGCGTGCGATTAATCGAGGCGATCAAGCAGGTAATGTTATTATTATAGTCTCTTCCAGCAGCCCAACTAGTGACGTCATTAAACACAGTATATTACTTTAGAGTTCATTCCTTTTGGCCTCATCTTTACCGTATCGCTTTATGTTGCATCTCGTTTGTCCTGTACTGTCCACTCCATTTCGCCTGAAATCAACATTTTATGAGGATGCAATTTTGCGGAAATTGTTAAATAATTCGTTCTTGAAAATATGGTTATGGTGCGTGCATCTTGGGCACAAAAATGATGCCATGGGAGTCATGTTATGAAACAAAACATCTCTTTGGTGACTCTCACAGAGCAGTGCATAACGACCCTGCACGTTTGAGTCTTTACCCCTTTAACGTTGCACAAACGTTGTGAAATTCCCTGCCATACCCTGGCTTGCCAGGAGAAGGCGGTACAGCAAAAAAATGTGGACTCCGCGTGTTCCGTCGGCATGGGATAGAGTATTTCCCCCTCGCACGCGTGGGTGTTCTCCGAGTGCTCCGGTTTCCTCCCACATGTAAACGCTCATGAAATTGCCGATAAAACCTGGATATATAGAGGACCGCCAGAGCTTGGGCAATTTTCTGTCACCAGCTCTCTGGTTTCCTCGTGCCTCAATGTTGTTCTATTTTCTCGGGAGTGAGCGAATACTCTGCGCGTCACAAGTTGAAATAACTTTTATCATTATTATTATTCACCAACCGACGGCTATATCAGATTCTCAAGTGGAAGAGTCTCTCTCAGTCTCGGCCCGGTCACCAGTGATGATTGCACCAACCACCCGGATTTAAATTGGGGCACACACCCCGGCTCCGAAAAGGTAAAATACGTGAGCTTGATTGTCACGCAGCACTTATATTGCGTGGTGATAAAGGCGGTGCTGTAAGGCTTGGAATTGAATGTTGCATTTTTTTTTTTGAAATGAAAAAAAAACTTATCAACGTTTTTTTTTAACAAAAGAATGTTGCTTTTCGTGTCGTCATCGTTCATGACCACAGAGACGACGACTACATTTGTGCCGAATATATTTTCATTATTTCTAGAACGTCAATAGAATATTACACCAGTCACGATTATTCATGAGGGGCGGCCGAAAAAGTGAGTTGTCGGGACAACGTGTAACTTATCATTTCGATATTTTGACAGTTGTTTTGGTGATAGCTTTGATGATATTATTGTAGTATAGTTGTATTCCCTGATTGCACGTAATTACGCGGAGCAATTTGTCATTCCGTGGCTGATCGCTGTCAAACGCCCCTAACAATGAAGGCAACTCATTTTAAAGCTCACTTAGCTACCCTTCTCTTCGTCCATTTCAGAAGCAAGACGTGCTTTGACATTTCCACTAATTGTTAATACGTTCATGTGAATAAGAAGTGATTTTCGTGTAAATTGGGATGCATGTTAAAAGGTTACGTGAAAACACACATTGTTTTGCGTGTGTGTCTATCTCAGTAATGGGACGTGTTGAGCCACCCTGAATGCATCAGGTGAGTGGTGTCAGCTCCTTCTCCGCCCATCATCGCTTTTCCTAAGTTCTTACACAACTCTGGCTCAATTCATGAACTCTCACCCGGCACACATTCAGCCGTGATGATGCTCGTTGCTGCTCCATCGGCATTTCATGCCCTTGGGCCCGTGCTCAGCAGCCGTGCTTACAACTGAACGTGAAGGTCACGGCGATGTTGATGGAAGAAGCCAAACAAGCAGGACGACGACCACGATGATGCTGATAATGGCGAGGCAACTTATGGAGGTTATTTCTGTATGTGCTGCCCCGACTTTAGACGTTCCTCCCATCTTCAAGCTCTTACAACCGTCGGCTCAATTCGGCAAATCCATTCACTCTCATCGACGCCACCGTCAAACGACGCTGTATCTTGCTGGCCTGCTTGGCAGTAGTTCGGGCCTTTGCTCAGCGACTGTTAATACCGAAAGCGGAAAACAAACACAAGAACAGAGAGAGAGAGCGATGGTCTGGGGGGGGGGGGGGCTTGCAGACACGGGGACACCAGCGGTGTAGGCTGCGGGCAGGAGCGGGCAGAGCGAAAGCGCTTTCTTCGCTTTTCAGTTTAACGGCGCGCCAAGACCGAACGGGTTCTCGCACTCTACCAGACCCCCCCCCCACCACCCCCGCTACACACACAGACGACGGAGTCACATATTTATATTATTATTTTTTAAAAACTCCCCGCGCGCGTTTCTTTTTTAATATGCTCCCTGTCTATTTATTTTTCCTTTCAGGCTGTCCAATTGCCACGGCTCTCCGGACCAATTCAAATGGGGGGGCGGGGTGGGGGTGGGGGGAGTGCTGGGGGATGGGGCTGGCTGGGGGGGATGTTGGGGGGGGGGGGGGTAGCGTGCCCGACGGTCCGGAGTGCATCGCAGTGGCGCAGCGCAGCGTGGCGCGAGCAGAATCCCTCTCGCAGTCCGGGCGCAGCGGCGGCGCTGAGATTTGAGCGGAACAATCGCTATCCAAACGGCGTGCGTATCAATCCGGCGTGGCGCTAAGCCATTGCTCATCCTATCTCACACGATCCATCACGGCCGAATCGATATAAACCTCCCGCCAACGTGCCTAATGCTGTGTTGCACGCGGGGGGAGGAAGAGGGCGACGGACGGAGAGAGGGACAGATACAGAGACACGGATGAATAGATGGATGGATTGATAGGGCGGAGGAGCAGTGGATAACCAGTGATTAGCGCGCTGCCCTGCGAGCTCGGCGACTTGAGTTCGAGTCTCGGGTGTGGATAGCATCAGTGGTGAGCGATGTGTGAAACCGGCCCCTGGGCACACGCATCACCGACCCGCACTAAACTGGCGTGGTGAAGTATGGTTCAACAACCCCCATGATCCACCCGGCATGAGGTAGGAAAGCATCCTGCTGATGATCTGATGGACATTCAGGTAGACGGATGAATGGATTGATGAACAAATTGTGGACTCGACCTGTTCAATCTGTATGGGATAGAGCGTTTCCCCCTCGCATGCCTGGGCTTTCTCCGGGTGCTCAAGTTTCCTCCCACATGTGCGCACCGATGAATTGCACGTACACACATCGACATATAGAGGACCGCAGAGCTGGGGCAATTATTGACTTCCCACTTGTCTGGGGTTCCTCCTCGCCGTTGTTGAGTCATTCTCTCTCTACGAGAGTGAGCGAATATACTGTGTAGTGCGTTACAAGTTGACATTATACAAACAACAATAAAATTATAATTACGAGGTGCATACAACTCAAATTCATCATTGTCAGCCGTGGTCTATGCGCCGCTTGACGAGGGCCCTTCCCCAAGCTATCGACATCTCTCATGGTGTCACGATGCAGGAAACAATCAGCGTCTGCACAGCGAGCCGATTTCATTGCTCCGTCTCACGCGAACGTCCTCTCGGGAGCGTTTCCCTCCTTTGGCCGCCACTCTGTGGTTAGTCTCGACCTTCCTGCCCAAGCCCCACTCACTTTTCTTATCGGTCGACACGGGGTGCGTGCGTTCTCAATTCCACGTGTTCCCCCCGTTCCCGACTCTCTGGGTAATCCCAAAGCGTGCATCCTCTCCACGTGACTTTGCAAAATTTTGAGCCGATCTAATCATCCGGCAATTGTTAACATGAAACAGAATACGCGGCCCATCAATGGTAACAAGTGAATGGCGAGTCACCACGGACTTGAGAGATAGACGGTTACATGTGTTAATGTTTAGCGGGTGGGCACAAGCCTTTTAGCGGATGTAAATACGCAGACAATGTGTGTCCTTCACATAACGTCAGCAGCATTGTGGCAAGGCGAGCAAACTGTAGGCCAGTTTCACCATCCATTGTTCTGGTCAATAGAGTCGGGCTTGAATCAACGCTGGCGAGCTGCTGATCTTACAAGGCAAGCCTACGTATTTCAACTATGGGAGGGGGTCACAGTTTGGCGCAAATCATATTGTGATATATTACTCAAAATAATCGTTGCGGGGAATATGAATAATAATAAAGAAGCAGACAATATTTATCCTTCACATGGTTTTCTCTCCATATTCAAACAAATAAAGAGTGCTTCTAGACACAACACATCAGACACACGGCACTTCTGCGCATTAAAACAATCCCGCAGAAAATGATGCACTTAACAGACGGCCGTGGCGGCTGATTGGACGTGCAGGAAATTATGTTGGGGGTTGTTTATTTTCGCGCGGAGAAAGACAGATGATATGTGAAGGAAGCGCGTCTCGTCCACTTATTCGCTTCGCGATTTACATTCTCCACAACGACGCTAATGACTGTCACTGCAGAAGCGACCATGGCCCTATCGGACTCTGTGGGCCTGTAGGGAGAGGAGGAACGCAAAGAAAAACACGCGGTGGAATACAGACATTCAATGTATTGTGTCATTTGTTTCGATTTGCCTCCCCGAATTTACCCCCCAAATTGTGCCCTCCGTGGTCATGTCACCAGACAAAGTGTCCATTGAGTTCTCTCATAGAGCAGGTGGAAGCCTGCACGTTAAAGAATGTCCCGCGGAAGCGGATGTCACAGGGCTACCTCTGAGATCCATTTGAGTGACCTCTGGCTCACCGTGGCGAAATGTTAACTCGCCACGGTTGCGAGATGTTACCTACCTCGCCTGGTATGCAGGAGGTCGTGGGTTCGATCCCGACTCTGACGTCTGTATATTTGAAGTTTGCACGTTCTCCCAGTGGTCGCGTGGATTCTTCTCCGCGTCCTCCGGTTTTACCTCCCCACGTTTATAAACGTGAGTTTGGAGTATTTGGCCGCTATACATTGCCACGTGATAAGCCAATTCGTTGAGCTACCAATTGTGGCCAAGTTGCTTGTGAAAAAGAGCTCTAGAGCTTAGTGGGGCCTTACTTGGTAAAGTCAAAAAAAGTTTCGTTTAAGTTTAAGGTAGTTAGCGTGGGGGCCCCTTGGTTATGTTGAGACGCGGGCGTCACTCACAAGCACGGAGGCGTCGGCGAGCAACGAGCTGCTGTTGGCTCCGGGCACCTGGATGACGAGGTGGCCTTGAGCCGTTCTGTACACGAGTTCCTTGTCTGGGGGGGGAGGCAGGAGAGACAGAGAGCGGCATCAGAACCCCCACTCACGCACAGTCCGCTTCGCTCTCTCCATCTGCTAACGCACACGTAAAACAAACGAAATGCGTAAATTGAGTCTCGTTCACAGTTGTATTTGAATCGCGCCATCGGCGTGAAAATCACGACAGGGACACGTGCCCAATCAGATATCTTGCATAATGCAGTGCGACACGCCGCGTTCGAGAGCAGCCCCTGGAAGGTGTCGTCACGGAAGTGCTGCAGGGGATCTCTTCCGTTGTCTCTTATCCACAAGGAGGGGCACTGAATCTACGACTCACGCTACCCGGGCATAGGGGTGTTTGCCACTTGGAAATCAAAACGGATATTGGTTTGGTCAGCTTGGAACGCGACGGTTTAAATAAGAAAATGTATTTTATATTGCGTTGAGTGTCATTCCAGAACCATGATGATGCATCAAATCACATGGGGGTGTGTGGGAGAGGGGGGTTATGTCTGTAAACACTCATTGCATATCGACATCCAATATGTTTCTATACACTTTACCTGTTAAGAGTCTGGATCATTGAAATGCATTAGATACACAAACCTCGTAGTTTTGCACATGGACCAGCCTGTAATTCGCAAGTCCAACCGACCACACCCTTCTCAATCGCGCACTTTTTGCATTTGCAAGCGGCACACGTTGATTGCCGCAGGATATAACAATGCACCCATTGTCAGCGCAGCGCGAGGCTTTTTATAAAGCTGCGGTGGTGACATGTCAGTGCGTCCGCATGCAGTTCCATTTATAAACCTCACACAACAAACCTTCGACTATTCATTAAAATGGGTCCCCCATCTCCCATCTGCTCGCAACGGGGTTCCTGGCGTTCGCGTGAATTAGATGACGTTCGCCTGGTTTGTTTTGTAATTGTCTTTAGGCGTGTTAAGTCTCCTCCATAAATTCAGGGGTATTGAACGCGGCGAACAAAAAACCCTACCAAATATATAAATATATACTGATTTACAACTCTCTGTCTGCAGAGGCACCAGCTGCAGTGCTAGTGCTGGCGTCAGAGCGGCTGGGGGATTGGGGAGGGGGATGGGGTAGTGAATTTTCATTTGGGCAGTCCCTAAGGCAATGCTTTAGAACGGCGACTTGTTATTGGCCTGGGGAGGAATGTGTTGAGCTCCCTTTGCGTTTATGTTGGTACTCTGTGGGGGAGGTGGTTTGAAGCGGTCAAGGAGACTCCTGAAACGTGAAGCCGAGGTGGTGAGGCTGAGCGTCCCATATTTTCAATTCTGTTTAAATTCTATTCCAAATGAATGTAAATTTAAATACAACTTCAGAATTTTTTGTTATATTATTTACGTTTTATTTTTGTTAAATACATGTATATATTTAGCTTTTTTTGTTTAAATGTAAAAGCATTTATTTTCTCAATGTGACGTGAAAATAAACAGGATTTGACCCATATATATAATTGGCAAGGCCGTAGCCAAAGAGTCAACATTGGGGGGGACGAAATCTTCCAGGGGGTCTGGGGTCCCCCCCCCCCAGAAAAATAATAATTTAAATTTGAAAACGAATTTCCTGCCATTTCCTGGCTAAAATATAAAAAAAATTCACTAACACATAGGATTGACTTTTTATGTATTTTTTACAATAATGTCTAAGAGTGTATTGCATTACATTGCTCTGCTTTTTCTTTTTTTACCTTTTCTTGTTTCATTGTATGTAATGGCAGAGATTAGGGATGAATAAAGTACAACCATAACCACAATCATATAAACAGAAATCTATTTTATAGCAATATATTGGGGGGGAAATTTTGAGCATATTTGAATATTGTGGGTGATGTGTCCCCCCAATATGTATTATAATTACGGCCTTGATAATTGGTGTACAGCGTTGTGGGATGCAATAAGCATGAATGACGCTATATGAAACGAAATTGCTATTATATAATTTAATTGCATTTTTTTAAAGGACTTTTTAATTTAGGTTGGGTACCACCGCAATGGCCCCAATGAGCCACTGCCACCACTGGCGCCTCGCTGGCCCTCTCTCTCTCTCTCCCTCTCCCTCCTCTCTCTCCCTTCTCTCTCTTTTTTTTACGATCAGTGGAAACAAGAAGATGTTCGGTGTATTCGGCACTTTGCTTCGTTCATCATTTCGTATTTTTTTTTTAAACTTAGCTTTATGTAAAACCCCCACTCTATCGCTCACTCTCTCGCTCACTCTCTCGGTCACTCTCTCGCTCACTCTCTCGCTCGCTCTCTCTCTCTCGCTCTCTCTCGTTCTGCACGCAGCCCTTCCCGCAGTCCGACGGCCTCCGACGGGTAGCTCATATCTCTCTCTCTCACTCCCGGCCACCCCACGTCAGTCCGTCACGCTGGACATCTCGCTCCATCTTCGTGCCTGCCCGCCCGTTCCGTCATCGCGCACGATGCTCAGTGGGGGGGGGAGGGGGCGACTGACCGCCTGCCTCTCTTAATCTCACGTCCTACTTCAATCCTCGCCCCCCAGCGCAGGGTTCATGCCGCATTTCTCTCCACCATAATTCAGCCCCCACCCCCCCCCAACTTACAACGCTTTCGTCAACGCACTGCTACATGAAAGCCCCCCCCCTCCCGTCCCCGCGGCGTCGTGTCGGTCATACTTCACCAAGCTGCCCGCAGCGCAGGTTGACGAAGAGGTGGGTTGAGCTATCACTCGCCTGCTGCTGTTAGCCGTGGCCGGGAAGCGAACTCAGGTGGCCGGGGTTCAATGTACCATAAGCGCCGTACAATACATTTACTTGTAATGCTCTTATAACTGCTCATGTTTTGGCCCTTAAATGTGTATCGTATGCGTTACTTATTTATGCATTCATACGTTTTACGCGCGTAAATTATTTTCTAATGCGCTTATGTTTGTAATGTATTATATTTTAATGGGCATGCGGTTTAAGTATGCATTATATATGAAATGTCATCAATTATTGATTGGCCACATGCTCGGCTATGCCCTCACTCATTTGCTCATTTTATCCGAGAGCGGTCGTAATATCCGTGCGGCTATCAGTTGAGATCCACCCATCGTGAAATCCACACGAGCATGCATTCATTCATATATCTACCCAGGCATCCATCCCGTCGATGCATATATTCTGTTTCACAATCATCAATCACACACCCCACGCGTCTGTTGCAATGTTCATCAATCCATCCTTACGCCAGCGCACACATTCATCCATTGGCGTTTTGTGCCCTCGTCCATCACTTACAGAAGCATATATCAATCCATCCATCCACACGCAAACCCGCATGCCCACACATTCATCTATAAATAGCAAACATAATATTATTTACATAACTGGGTAGATCTCACTAACTTCGCTAAACACACACGTGGGGTTTCTCCGGGTGCTCCGTGTTTCCTCCCACATGTAACCAACCATTAATTGGCTAAAATAACACGAATATATATAGAGGACCGCAGAGCTTTGAGTGGAATTTGGCGTCAGCTCACCACGTGGCTGCTTCTGCCTTCCAGCTCCACTGTGGTTCCTACCCCTGCGCCTCGAAGTTGCTGTCTCTCTCTCTCGCTCTCTGAGAGCGATGAGTGACTATTGTACAGTGGAGGCGCGTTACAAGTTGGCACTATCCTTATGATAACTTAGGCTTTAAATTTCGATTTAAAGCTTTCGTGACTGCAGGGATTCATCTTCTTGGTTCTTTCGGTAAAGTCACGTAGAATGGAAATAATAAAAAAATAAAAAATAAAACATAATAAAATAATTCTCACGACATTTAGGCCACAACGCAAACAGCCGTTGTGGCCGAAACGTCGGGAGAATTATTGTATTATGTTTAATTTTTATTATTTTTTTATTTCCATTCTACGTGACTTTACCGAAAGAACCAAGAAAAACTTAGGCTTAATTTCAGGAGGATCGGTGTAGGTATGCAAAGTGCGTGGGTATTAGTGTCGTTGAGTGTGTGGGTATCAGGGCAGGTACGTGCTGTGAGAGGCTTGTGTGTCCCAAAAGAGCCCGAGAGGCATGCCGGTGGGAGTTTCGGGCTCCTGGCAGGTTTACACGTGCCGGATTAGTTTCGGGAGATGGGCCAGACGAGAGCCAGTACACTGGCACCTCCAGGTTGGTGGTTGGGCTTAGCGCTAACAACGCCACCCCGTAAAAAAAAATACTCAATGTGACAGAAACTACAACTCAACGATGTGACGTGTGTGTGGGTATCAGGGTAGGTGTGTGAGTGTGTGAATATTGGTGTCGATTTAACACCTAGGCTTTCGCGACCAATATCATACATAATACATGGTTTTTTTGGGGGGGGAGGGTTAAATACTCCTAAATACAACTGTCTAAAGGGGCAGAACACGCGTGCCAACAAGGACACTCAATTGATTTTGATATTGTTGAAGTTCTGTGCAAAAACTAGCTACTACTGGCCAAGACGAATTCGATAATCTATCGAAATTGAGAAAAATAAAAATAGTTGTAACCGCTCGGATAGCTACAGACTTCGTGCTGCATGGAAACGAATAATCAGTATATATTGTTTAAATGCATGCCTATACAGGTCACCATACTCCAATAGGGATTACCGTTGTAACGGCTATTTTAGTGCACACAATCGACAGGAAGTACAAGAACAATGGACTCCCATAATACGCATGCATAATGTACGTTTATTACCATGTCAATATGCAATCATTAATCATTACATCAACGCCTCTATTTAAGGGACGAAGCAGGTGGACTTCTCCACAAATCTGGCTGTCGCCTGATGAAGCTAGTTGTACTTACTGGCCAAGCGTCGTACTCAGATTGTAAATGTTGTGGCTTGGCTCTCCAACACACCGGTGTTGCTGACGAATTGGCCACGTTCTGTTTACGTGACAAACCTTACTAACTGGCTGTGTGGCGGGTTAACGACACATTTATTTATTTACGCGATATAAGCCCCCCCCCAAAACAACCTGTATGATGATTGGTGTAGACGTATGTGTACAT